GGGTCTTTATTAATATAAGACTTTCTGCTGACATGTGAATTTAGTCTGTACTTTTCACCTGCTAAGGTGTTTTTGTTTTGTTTCCTGGTGCTGGGGGTGAGGAGGTGCAGGTTCTTGCTCATGCTAGGCAAGCACCCTACCAATGAACCACGCTGCAGCCATCACCACTAAGTTGGAAGTACAGTCGACCCTTGGTATCCACAGGTATGTGGTTCCCCAAGGAGAGTGCTGTCAAGGAAAGCCTGCATGTGCTCAGGATGCAGAACTCATTGCTGTACTGTGAATGCTTGATTCATTTTCCCCATCAGGCTGTGCAGCTTCCACCTCAGACATGCTATGCTTCAACAGTGCTCAAGTTTCTATTTGCTCTTGCCAGTTAAGCACATTCACCTTTACCTTGCCTTTTGGGCACCAATTGCTTTTTGGAAGGCAGATTTTCACAAAATTTTTGGAAGGGCAGGAAAATACTCAGCAGATCACACAATGATTTAAATATGGCTGACAATAAGGTAGGACTGACTTAGGGCTTCTCCCATTGACTGAGCTGTTATAATGCACGCATGGGAATTAAAAACATTTTGTTTTTCAAATTTCTTTTGATTTGTTTTATTATTTCCTTTGACTGTTTGGTCAAAACCATGTGTAATAAATCCACAAGTAAGGCAAGCTTCCTGAGCTTTGAAGTGTGGGGGAGGTAGGAGCTCCAGTTCCACTGCATTATCTCTAACACCAACCTGAGCGAGCAGTGAGGGGCTTCCTTCATCCACGTAAGAGACCCCGATGCCTACTTGATTCATGGGCAAGAGTACCAGAGCAGGGGTCAGATGAATGCAAGTTCCAGATCTATCACATCATGACTGATACTAAAGATAACAGGCTGCAGCGTGTTAAGTGTTTGCTGCATTGCATCAAATCCTTGTTCACTGGGTGACCTTGCACCCGTTCCTGTACCTTCCTGTTTCAGACTTTTCCTCTCTCAATGGAGATGGCAACGCTCAACAGAGAGGGTGAGAGGAGGCAATGGAGCAACGCAAGTGAGAGTCTTTGAAAAAGGACACCAAGGGATATATATATGCCATATTTTCACAAAGCGCCAAGATGGTAATCTTCAGGCCTTTGAAGAGTCTGATGTTGGCAAAACTCCCACTGATGGTGAATTTGATAGCCCAGCTTTGTGAGGGCAGAATATGAGGCCCATGGTGGTGCTTTATCTGTCACCTGAGATCGGGGTGTCTGTCTCCTGGCACAAATGTGACACCTGTTGCAGGAGGAACAGGCCCTGGCAGGTGGTGCTCTGGGATGAGAGGTCTGGCCAGGAGGAGCTAGCTTACCAGAGGGCAAGTACAAGTGCCAGTAGTTAAATCAGCACATTCTTCAGCACCAAGTGCCTCAGGAGGGCTGAGCAATGCCTGAGTATCTGCCACTAAGAATAATGCAGAGGGTAAGGCAGGGAGGAGAAAGATCCAAATATGCCTGGCACAGAACACGCACTTAGTGAATATTGATGGGAGCTGTGGAGAATGAGCGGAAACCACAAAGCAACACCACCTGTGGAACGAGGCGGACGTGTTATTTATTGCTGGGAACCACCAAGTCCTGGCTGCCCACAGTCTGCTTATTCTCTGGTTAATAAGCATAGAGAAGAGTCAAAGAGCTACTGCTCTTTGTAGTTTATAAAATTCAAAAGGAGTTGGAGCTCACATCTCCTGACTCCCAGACCCAAAACTCCTAATTCAGAAATTGTCAGGAAGAAGAAGTGTATATTGAGTACTTAATAGGTATCAGACCCTATGCAGCAGTCCTGTGTGGCAGGTGTTTTTATCCCCACCATCCAGATGAAAAAAACAAGGCCAAAGAGGTGCAACGCTCCAGCAGTCATAGTTATAAATGATAGGCACACAATTAGATCTCTCACTCCAAAGTGTTGCTTGTCTTTATATGACCTCACCAAGTCTGCAAAGGGTTGCTCCTGCTCCTTAAATTGCTGAAGGCTGAGCTGTTGAAGATCCTGTTCCCAGGCATCTCAGAACCATCCAGACTCACCTGTGATCCAGGGGTAGTTCCTGGCTAGGTTTCACTTCACTGAATTTTCTCTCTGTTAACCATGTTCTCCCCGTCCCCGCTCCCCACCCACTACCTCAAGGTGAATTTGTCCTTGGTCACAAGGGAGCCACCTCTTCTCTTCTGTTAAAAGAGAAATAGAACTGCACAGTAGTTAAAAGTAGTAATGACATGTTTTATTCAGTACTGTTGCAATAGGTGAAAGAGACATCAGTATAGAACTGAGCTCAGTTCTGGAGACAGCTGGGATTCAGAGCAACAGCAGAGTGAGGGGGTCAGTGGATGGACAGTTACCAAGAAAAGACTTCAAGGGCATTCTTGCTAAACTGGCCTAACAGGATTCTTGATAAAGGGCGGGAGGTGAGGAACTTGATCTGATATCAAAGCTGATCACATTAAATGTAGGGGGATTTAGCAGTTCTTGCTAAACTCAGCAGCATTCTTGCTGAACACTGGGCTAGGCAGGTCCAGGACAGGGCCCATGGAATAGAGGGCTAGGAGGAGCCATCTCAAGTTGAGCCAAGGAGAGACTTTGTCACTTTTCCTATAGATGTCAGGATAGGGGAAGGGAGCTGAAGACCTACAGAGATAGTTCCTTGACCTTGGGCAAGTCATCCCACCTTTAGTATGACTTCCAACAGTCAAAACACCGGGTTGGAACTGAAAACCAGACTCTGTTGAGACTCTGTCTCAACAACAATGCCATGCCAGGGATAGGGCAGGTAGTATTTCTACTTCCATAAGAAGATGGCATTTGGTCGTAAGGGTAAAGTCAAGGAAGAGATCATGCAGCTACAGAAGCCAGACAGGGCCTGTCCTCCCCCTCCCTACAGTGGGACTCATTTGTCACACAAGCATTAGCCCCAGTGGAGAACCCCCAGCCATTAGCCAATGCCCCCGGGGGCTAAGGAGGCCAGTGGCTCTTCCTTTAGGTTGTGTGTTTGAGGTGGCTTTCCCCTGAGCGCATCCAGAGGGGAGGGTGGAGGTCTGAGAGATTCTTTCTCTTTCTCCTTTACTTCCAACTCGCCTCACTGGCTCCAGCATCTAACTCCTCTAGAGTTGAATTTCTCTGGCCATTAACTTGTCAGACCTGTTCCTAATTGCCAGCTGGCCAGCCATGGAAACTGGAGAGACCTTGATGGCAGAGGAATAAACCTGCAGAAGTCTCTATAACCAAAGCACTGCAGAAACCCACAGGACAGATGCCCAGCTGAGGCCTCTGCCCCTAGGACTCCTCAAAGACTGCCCACAGGAGGAAATACAGATGAAATGACCCAAGCTGGCTTGTGGGACAAGCTGTCTGTTCTATCCTGGGTGCCAACTAGCTCAGTGACTTTGAACTCTGAGCCTTCTCTTCCCCCATCTGTAGAACAGGGAGTGATCAGACCTGATCTATCTCACACAATTCTTAAATGGCTCAAATGATATTGGTGTGGGAGATGCTTCCTAAACACCAAAGGGCCGCACAAAACACAACAACCATGTAAGAAATGCACCCCTATACTCCACTCCCCAACTCTGTGTCCACCTCTTCCACACCCACTAATAAACATGCACAGTGTGGACATATAGACATCTGTGGAGTCCATACCTGCAGGATGTGCTTTGTTTGAGATGGGATCCCACTATGTAGCCAGGCTGACCTTGAATTTATGATCCTTCTGACTCATCCTTCCAAGTTGCTGGAATTATAGCTGTGTACCTCAATACCTGGCTGGATTGTGGGTTTTTTTTTTTTTTCTGGGTCTGGCTATCCATATCCCTTCTGATCACATAGGTATCCTGTGACACTTCTGTTTACTGCAAACCCAGGGTGGGTGACTGTCAGTCAATCCTTTTGAGCAGTACCCATCTTATGCATGTTAGGTATGAGCTCCACCACTGAGCTCCACCCTAGACGGCTTTGGACACCTTGATGAAGCTGCTGGAGAGAAAACAGCAGCCTGTTGGAAATCCCTCTGAACACTTGGGTTCCCATCTTAGCCTTGTCACTGTTTGCTAAGTGAGCTTAGAATAGTCATTTCACCAGCCTGGGTCTCAGTTTCCTCATCCAGAATGGGGGAAGGTGATCATGAAAGCCCCATTGAGCTCTGATGGTCCATGGCTAACAGTGCCTTTGGTCCACATATTAAAAGCCCACCTCTTTCACTCCCATACATAACAGGGGCTGACCACTAGGCTCTGACTCTCTCTCATCCTCCCCCAGTGCACTTGCCTCTTTGCTTATTTAAGAATACTTATGTGCACCCCAGCAGTTTCCTGTTCCTTCCTTTCCTCCCTCTCTCTCACCATGGTTTGGCATTTTGCCGTCCCAGATGTGTGCAAACCCACCAGTTCCAGAGCCTTCTGGGTACAGACATCATCAGTCACATACAACCTCCAAATAACTGGGAATAGCTAGGCCCCTAATCTCTAGCACTTTATAAAATTTGTTTGGCAAACACCAAGTTCCAGCCCATCCTTTCTGGCTCCTGCAGTTCTGTGTTTCTCTCTCCAGCGGTTACTGGTGGGAGAGGGGAGGCAGAGGGCCTCCCAACAGGCACACACCAGCAATCCCTGCTGCTTCTCTGGAAGGGAGAGAAGGCACTTCCTTTCTCAGCCATTTCTCTACAGCAGCTTTTGGGAGGAACTTACCCTCCAGGGCAAGGGAAGAAGCAGCCTGTTGTGAGTCCACAGTGGGAGGGCCATGGTCCCTTTTCACCTGGCTGGGCTCCTTCTCTGATTTATAGAAGGCAATGAATTCTAATGGGGTGTAAGCTCACTTCTGCTCTCTGCCCTATTATAGCTATCTCCTGCTCTGCCCACTTTACTCCTATTGTATGAGGAATGGTGAGCAGAAGGGAAGTCAATTACTTCTTATCTCCACCCTATAATCTTAACACATTTATGAGGGCCTCAAATTATGTTGATCTTGCCTTTCTCTCCTTTCCCTTCAATAGGGTATGGCAGCTGGAGAGAACTGGCCAAGGCTTTGGCTAGGAGGAACATCCCAGCAGTGGATCCAAATCTCCAATTCTATCATCCCCAGAGGCAGAACCTCGAGGTATGTGGCAGCACCTGTCCATTCTCTGCTGGTTCATTAACATGGTCCTTCAGTTGTCCTACCTTGATGGCCTCAAGGGGAATATCCACTCCTATGTGGCACAGGGAAAGTAGCTGGTGGAATGTCCAGTCTGGCATCTAGGACATCCTAGCTGAGGGGGTAGAGATGTCCATCCTGCCCTCTGTCCATCAGTGGGCCTGGTTGTCCTGTTTCTGCCTTTGCCGCATTTTTCAAGCCACATTGTTCCTTGCCACTCCAGGCATATGGCATTCACCTCAGACAGCACGAACAGGGGTTGAGGCTGTAGCTCAGAGGTTGAGCACTTGTCTAGCATGTGTGAGGCCCTGGTTTCCATCCCCAGCATCATGATCAGTCAACCAGTTAATAAAGCAAAATAGATAGCATGTCCTGCATACTGACCAGTATGTCCTGCCTCTTCCTGGCACATGGACAGGGCTGTGCTTTGTTGGCAATGCCAGAGGCTGCTGAGAGCCAGAGGATGAGGTAGACAGACAGCCCTTCCTGCAAATAGCTTGGGAAGCTGTTTGCAATGGAGCATTTCCTTATAGTGTTTCTTGGGCCGATGGCTCCTAGGGAGGAAGATTAGGGAAACTGGGGGCCCTAAGTTAACCCTAGAATAGTCATGGATCTCCAAAGCTGAACCAGAACCAAGGTGAACCTGTGGACCTGCATGGTAGGAGGGTTTGGGGTGTTCCTGAGGGGCTCCTACTTACTGAGACAAGAGAGTGGCATATCCTCTATATTCATATAGAGGAAGAGGGAGTCACTGCCCCCTGCTCTCAGAAGGCCTTGATTTAATTAGAAAAAACTGGACTGGGGTGTAACTCACTAGCAAAGAGCTTGCCTAGCATGTACAAGGCCCTGGGTTCCATCCCCAGCCCACAAACAATTTTTCCCATATAAGGCAGATTGAGAAAATTCAGAGAAGTGAACGAACTTTAGAAGTACCCGTTGAAGAGACTGAGCTGTTCTAAGAGACATGGTGAAAATAATAAGTGGGTGTGTCCTGTAAGTCCATGAGCTTACGGCAGACTGTGTCTCCTCTGCTTCCTTACAGGCACTTTTTAGGGTCCCTGAATCCTGCCTTGCCCCCAATTTCTCAATCTAACATTGCCACAAAGTTCATTCTTTATTCTCCTACCAGGACCAAGAAATTGATGGAGATGGGAGCAGGAATAGTAGCTTCTTGAAGTGGAATAAGCCTGTCCCTTGGCTCTCAGAGGTGAGGAACTCTCCTGGCCCTGGTCTAAGGGTTAACTTTTTTTTTTAACAGATAATTTGAGAGATCACAGAAAACTTTCTTCTAGTGGTTATTATTATATTTAAATGCGCCCACCCCACCCCACCCCTGGGTTCCAGGTCCATTCAGTTTCTTCTGGAAGAGAAAGGGCACTGACATTTGCCACAGGCCTGCCGTGTGTCAGGCTCTGTGTGTCATCTCTTAACAGCCTCTTGACTCTGAAAGGCAGTATCATTGTGTTAGTCAGCTTTCCAGCTAATATCTGACATCATCAGCTTATAAAGGAGGAAAGGTTTATTTTGGTCCACGGCCACCTGGCCCCATTGCTTTGGGCCTGTGGCAGCACAGTGTATTGTGACAGGAGCATGTGATAGAGGAGGCCTGGTCACCTCATGGCAGCCCCTTCAAGGACACACTCCTAGTGACCTAACTTCCTCCACGGGCCCTACCTCCTAAAGGTTCCACCACCTCCCAGTAGCACCACAGGCACCACTTGAGCCACTTGCCAGCCCCTCATTAGCTGCATTTTATACGTGGGAAAACCAAGGTTCAGGGAAGTAACATGACTTTCATAGTGATGCCAATCCCCAATCTTAAAGATAACAAGCTTCCCAAACGGTCTTTCTTAGATCATTAAGTTCCATAAGATATTTCAGGAAGAAAGGAGTTCATTGTTCAATACATTAAAAAAAAAAGAAAAAGAAAAAAGGATGTGAGGTGATCTGGCTGTGACATCTGTCACCCCATTGATAACCAGGGTTGATTCAGCTGAAGAGGACGACCATCCCCGATGGAGGAGGACCGTTCTTCGGTCAAGGGTATACGAGTAGCTGCGCTCCCCTGCTAGAACCTCCAAACAAGCTCTCAAGGTCCATTTGTAGGAGAACATAGGGTAGTTAAGTTTCCAAGACTCCAGACACATCCAAATGAGGCACTGCATGTGGCAGTCTGCCTTTTTTTAAAAAAAAAAAAAGAAAGAAAAAAGCTATTTATTACATCCCCTTCTTGGAAATGCATATTAACATATGAATGATTCTGAGAAGTTCTGCCTTACTCTATTTAACTTGGTTTAGCTAAGCAAACTTTTGCTCCCTGAAATGCTTTTTCTATGAAATACCTATTAACATTCTATGATACTGGTATTTTAAGGAACATTAGGAAACTGCTTTGGAAAATGTTTTAGTTAAATTTATGAATAAAAGTCATGACCAATCACATGCAGTGATGCATTGGTGCATGCTTGTAGTCTTTTTTTTTTTTTTTTTTTGTGGTACTGGAGCTTGAACTCAGGGTCTTCACCTTGAGCCACTCTACCAGCCCTTCTTTTGTGAAGGCTATTTCAAGATAGGGTCTCGTGAACTATTTGCCGGGGCTGGCTTTGAACCATGATCCTCCCGACCTCTGTCTCCTGAGTAGCTATGATTACAGGTGTGAGCCACTGGTGCTCAACCTGGCTGCATTTATTAATAACTAATTTTCCCTACTTTTTTGCCAATCAAGGATATATACATACACATATATATGAACCAACTTTTAGTTATTTGATATTTTAGTACATGTGTAAGACCTTTGATGGTTAATGGTTTCCCCATTGATTTCATTTTTTTCAATCTTAAAAGTCCTCATTAGTCTTTGTGGATCTTCAGAAGGTCACTAATTCAGCCCTTTATTTTAGAGCGAATAAGGCCTGAGAGTAAGTGACAGGGTCCAGCCCAGCTTCTCTGCCCCTCCACATCACAGGACCTCTGTGTTCCCATCTCCTTACCTGTCTCCTGCCTTTGACAGCATTGGCAGTAAATTCTAAGTCGAGAATATAGGTCATTTACTGAACATCGATGTTAGGTTACACTGCTACCCCCCTTTTCAGATAATGCTTCAAGAGGTTGACCCCTTCATGCCAAGGGGAGCCTCTTCTAGGTGAGCAAGAATATGAAGACAGTAATGGCGTCTTCCTTCTCTGTTTCCCTGCTCCAGCCTTTGGCTGGCTGCTCAAGTCTCTGAGGTCAGAGGTCCTTCTCAAAGACACAGCAGCCTTAGTGTTCTGCTACATGTGTCAGAGAATCAGTAGAAGCACGGGAAGTCAAAGAGCAAGGCGTTGCCAAAGCAGGGAGTTGGGCGTGGGTGGGTGTAGGTGCTATAGGGAGTGGTGTGAGGTGAGTCTGGGAAGGCAGATGAACTATAAAAGACCAGGGCAAGGGTGTAAGCAGCAGAGTGACTAGATGGGCTCTGAGCTTCAGGACAGTCCTGAGGCAGCAGGGGGACTCAGTTGGAGGGGAGAAGCTGTGATCCACTCAGGAGGCCGGCTCAGGAGGCCAGGCAGAGGTGGTTGTGGGGGTGGAAGGTAAGTATCATTCCAGTGAGAGGGCCCACCAGGCTAACCTCAGTGTCTTGGTCATAACCCCATACATACACCCCACTTCCACAGGGTTAATTGCTGAGTGTCCTTGGGGAGTCAGTTTACCTCTCCTGAACCTCGATATTCTCACCTCTAAAATGAGATGGCTGCAACAGGTGTTTTCTCCACTACCTCTGACTGGAAGTTCCAAAACCGTCACTGTGCTATATGGCAGAAACACTGTGGTTCTGGGAGTAATCCTTGCCATTCTTTGGCTCTTAGTCCCTACTGGACAAGGGAGAGCAGGCAGTGGGCAGTGCTGGAGCTACACAAATCCTGGTCGAGTGGTCAGTCCAGTCCTGGAGTGACTCCACCTACAGCCAAGGCTTGGGGCACATAGTCTGAGGGCTGGTTTTCTTCCTGTACTCTTACCCTCCCTGCCTGGCTTTCCCCAAGTTCCTAAAGCCAGAAAGTCCCTGGGAGTGGGGAGGCTTCAATCCCGCCTCCCTCCTTGCCCACTCAACCTTCCCCCGAGCCTTGGCCTCCCTTGCTGTTCTCAGGACCTTGAGCACACTGTCCTTGGAGGGGGCAGAGAGCAGATCATTTGGAGAGGACAACCGAGTCTCCGAAACTGGACTTGAAGAATTTCCCCAGAAGTAGCACAATGTCCCCATTCTTTCCTTTTTTGGAGCCTCAACCTGCCTCCCACCTACCCAGCCCACAGTCCCTCTCCCACCCATCCAGACCCCCACCCCAATTCCTGTGAGAGATGCCTGCTTCCCAAAGTCTCAGATTCTTAGCATTGGCTGGGCCAGCATACCCAGGCTGTGCCAAGTTGCTGAAGGGTCAGGGAGAGACAGGCTGTCCTGCGTCTTTGGGGTCCAGCTGTGGGGCAGTATTCTCTTGAAGCTGTACCCACCATACCAGCCACCTCAGACTGGGACATTCCTGCTGAGGAGTCATCAGTCCCCCTTTGCTATCTCATCCCCCATCCCCCATCCCTCCTCCTCTTTCCTCCTTGGACAGCTGCCCTGTCCCTTTCACCTCCGCCCACTTTTCCTAAGGGCGGCTCAGGTTTTGGCCTTCACAGGCCATGGTGGGGAGGGGAGGGAAGGGCAGGGCCTATTTGTGGTTGAGTTCCCACCTCCCACACCTGGAGGTGACTCTGGGGGAGGGAGCTGAGCTGGGGTATTTGAAACTCAGTGGATCGATTGGGACAACCCTGGTTCCCTCTCCCCCAAACTCAGACTTCCACTCAGTCAGAATACTAGCTGCTGCCTTCACCCTGCCCTGTGCAGGGCACTCTCTGCTCCAGGCCTCCAAGCCCAGTCCTGTCCCCCCACTCATGCCACAGCCTGAGGCAAGAGAGAGTATCTTCTGCCTGTGGAGCCCTGCAGAGGCCTGTGAACAGCCCAGAGAACAGCAGGAAGCCCCTGTACCTGCCGATGGGCCCCAGACATGGATACTTTCTGCACCCTTTTCCTACTGCTTTCCTACAGCTCCCCGGCTGGACCGTGAAGACCACTGTGTAGATAAGGTTTCAGGCAGACAGCTGTGGAGCTTTTCTCTCCTTAGGTTTGAGGGACAGGGGAGGGTTGCAAGGAACCCAGCTGGGCTTCTGTTTCCAGCTCCTTCTGTGTCTCCTGCCATTTTGCCATGGCTATTACTCTCACCTGGGGATGCATGGGGGAGAGAGAGAGAGAGAGAGAGAGAGAGAGAGAGAGAGAGAGAGAGTGTGTGTGTGTGTGTGTGTGTGTGTGTGTGTGTGTGTGTACCTGCAGGACCCCATCCTCAAGGCTAGGCCACAGGGCTTGTGCTATTTCATGACAAAAGCACCTGAGATAATCATCTTATAAGACAGAAAGGTTTATTTTTGCTCGTGCCGTCAGAAGTTTCAGTTCCTGGTTGCTTGGCCCTGTGGTGCCACAGTACATCATGTAGGGACAGATGACAGAGGAGGCCTGTGCATCTCATGGCAGCTTGAAGAGTGAGAGAAAGAGGTCAGGTCCCAACATGTCCTTACAGCCACGCCCCCAGTGACCTAGCTTCCTCCCAATAGGCCCCAACTCCCAATAGCTCCACCAACTGACAACCAAGCTTCAACACATGGGGACATTTCCTATCCAAACTGTAGCAGGGGTGGATACCAGCACCAGGTTCCCAAAAGAAGCTGTGGGTGCCACAATAGGAATGGAGCTGGAGTGGCCCGGCCACAAGAGGAGCACTGTGTCTGTCTCTCCACTCTGTCCCCTGGAGCTGTGGAGTTACAGGGCCGAGTGTGGAGAGCTTCTACTCACTGAGCCTCTCACCCCTCTGCCCTGTACAGTTCCGGGGCCATGCCAACTTGCATGTGTTTGAAGATTGGTGTGGTGGTTCTGTCCAGCAGCTCAGGAGGAACCTGCACTTCCCACTGTACCCACACGTGAGTACCTGTGGGGGCTTCCTCGCCTGCCTCCCTCATCTTTCCTTGCTTCTTTTTTGGCCCTTATTATTTCCTTTATCTCTTGAGCCTTCTTTCCCTCTGCCCAGGGTATCCCCTTGTTTTCTTTCAGGATTCTTTTCATTTCTCTGCCACTCTACATCATTTCAGTTTAGGGGCTGTTTTTGTAGTTCACAATATAGTTTACCCAGGACCACCACATATGGTTGTGCTGGTTGTGCACTGTACAAGGTTACCTGGACCAAGAGGCAAGTGGGAGCTGAAATCTCTGTACCACTTGCTAAGTCACATCCCTGGTGCCTCTTGTCTCATTCCCCTCCTGGCCTTTGCACCAGCTCTGAGTGGACCAGTGTTCCCAAATTCATCTTCCTGCTTCTGGGTAACAGCTTCTTCCTCTTTCTTGGCATAGATCCGCACAACCCTGAAGAAGCTGGCTGTGTCCCCCAAATGGACCAACTACGGCCTCCGCATATTTGGCTACCTACACCCCTTCACTGATGGTGAGGCAGCCCCAAAGCCCCACCCTTTTTCCTGCTTTGAACTTCTGCAGAGAACCCAGAGAACAGAAACCTGAACTGGGGTATAAGCATGAATTAGGACTCTGTTGGTTCATCATCAGGAAGAGAGGGGAAAGTGAGGCATGGTGCATTCTCATCCCACCCCACCTATGGCTGCCACCTCACTTAGTTTGCAGCCTGGAACTAGCTGGACTGTGGGAGCCTTCCCTGGGTTCACATTGCCCTCTGGGATGTAGAGACCCCACCATGCAGAGTGTGGGGCCACAGCACCAAGCTGCCACAGGGGATTTGATGCTGTGACAACACAAGGCCTTCAGTCTTTATGCAATCTCCTGGCTCTCTTCCTCACACCCAGGGAAAATCCAATTTGCCATTGCTGCAGATGACAACGCTGAATTCTGGCTGAGCCATGATGACCAGGTCTCAGGCCTTCAGCTGCTGGCCAGTGTGGGCAAGGTAGGGGCAACACAGCCTTGGAGCACTCCCACTGGTCTCGGGAGCCAGGTCACTGAAGGGCCACCTGAGATCATCAGGAGCCTCTAGTTCACTAGATGGTCTTTGATGTGAAAAAGGGGCAAAAAAGGATTTTTCCTCATTTCTACCCCTGCTGCAAGGGGGTAAGCTGAGGTTGGGTGGAGTGAGGAGTTGGAATTTGAGACCCCAAAGACTCATCTTTGAGCCAGGTGCCAGTGGCTCACTTGGGAGACTGAGATTGGGAGAATTGCAATTCGAGGCCAGCTGGGGCAAATAGTTCTTGAGACCCCCATCTCCAAAATAACTAGAGCAAAATGGACTGGAGGTGTGGCTCAAGTGGTAGAGCATCTGCTTTGTAAACACAAAGCCCTGAGTTCAAACACCAGTCTAACCAAAACAAACAAACAAACAAAAGACTCCTGTCAGGGTGGCAACCCAGCCACATACATCTTTTGGGTCTGATTTTTGGTGTTGAGGATTCGCATTCTGGCTGGCAAATGGTGGGATGTGCAGTTTGCCCAGCCACACTCCTTAACTGTTTCTTCTCTGTCAATCTCATCCTCCCTCCCCTCTTCCTCTCTTCCTTTTCTCCTTCCTTCTCCCTTGTTCTCTCCACTCACGCCCTCCCATCCTCCTTTGTGTATTCTCTTTCTCCTTTTCTCTCTCTCCTCTCTCCCTACACCTCTAGACTGGAAAGGAGTGGACTGCCCCTGGAGAGTTTGGGAAATTTCGGAGTCAAATTTCCAAGCCAGTGAGGTGAGTCACAATACTCTTGTGAGCCCCTTAAGTTCTGAGGCCACATCAAAGTGAGAGAACCCAGTTGGACCCAGCCTTCAGGGCATCCACACTTTCTGGGTAAATAGAGTCTCTGGCTTGAAAACTGTTAGGCTTTTCCTTCCTTGTTTTATAGATGAGCAAACTGAGAGGGTTTGTGACTTATAAAAAGTCACACAGCCATTTAGTAACCCTCAAGACTGGAAAACAGGTCTCCTTTTGCCTTCCCATTTCCTCCACCCCTGAGATGCATCACAGCCTGAACAGTGGTTGCTCTTTGGGCCTGCAGGAACCTGAGCTGCAGGAATGACCCGTCAGTGATCCCTGCTAGCCAGCAGGGAAAGCAAGACCTTTCCTAGCCAATAGCAGCTGGAAATCTCTACTGCTCTAGAAAGGGGAATTTAGCCTGGCTTCAGATCGCCACCTGGTGGCCCTTCCGCACGCTCGCAGGCAAAAACTGGCTTAGGCTTGAAGTTAAGCAGATCTAGTTTGCAAAGGATGCTTGCTGTGTGCCAGTGGTGAGCGTTTTCTATGTAACTCAACACCGCAGATAATGATGTGGACTCTGAAGTAAAGCTGCCTGGGTCCAAGTCCTGACTTCATCACTTACTATCTGGGTGACTTAGGCTGATCTCCCAGAATTTCCCTGCCTCAGTGGCCTCACTTATAGCCAAAGAACAAAGTAATATTTCTGCTAAGGCACTAAGTACAGTGCCTGGCACTTAGTAACTGCTCTCCAAGGGCTCACTATGAGAGTTCTTTTCATTGGATCCCCGAACTATCCTGTGAAGTATGTGCAGCATTGCCATCACACAGAAGGGGAAACCAAGGCCACTGGGGGGAGGGGTCTATCTAACCCAGATGGGTAAATGGCTAGCTCCTGGGGTTATCCTAGCAGGGCAAAAGAGATAGGAGGAATAAGGGGGGACCGAGGTGACCTGGGACCCAGGAGAAGCTCTCCATTTTCCTGCTCTCCCTCTGCCAGCCTGTCAGCCTCCTTCAGGTACTACTTTGAGGTGCTACACAAGCAGAACGACGAGGGCACAGACCATGTGGAGGTCGCGGTAAGGACCCTGCCCTCCCTATCTCTCCCAGCCCTGTTCCCCATATGCCCCTCCCCTTGTCCCTTGAACCCTGTCCAAAACTTAGCACCTCCAACCTTCCACATCCACCCTCACTCCTCTTCCAGTGGCGGCGGAATGATCCTGGAGCCAAGTTCACCATCATCGACAGCTCTTCGCTGTCCCTCTTCACAAGTGAGTAGCTCTTTCTTGCCTGCCTGGAGATGGAGGCCAGGGTGCCCATGTGTGGGGCTCAGCCTGCCCAGGGGGATGTGGTCTGGGGAGAGGGTGCAGGGTATAGCTCAAGATGCTTAGGACACAGTATGTGGGAAGGAGGGCCAGAGCAAGAACAGTACCTAAGGGGCCTGTGACCCTCATTCTTCAGGGTCAGTGACTTCTTTAAGAACCTACTAGTTGCTGGCACCAGTGGCTCACGCCTGTAATCCTAGCTACTCAGGAGGCAGCGATCAGGAGGATCAAGGTTCAAAGCCAGCCCGGGGAAGTAGTTCGAGAGATCCTATCTCAAAAAAACCCTTTACAAATATAGGGCTGGTGAAGTGGCTCAAGGTGAAGGCCCTGAGTTCAAGCCCCAGTACTGAAAAAAAAGAAGAAGAACCACCTACTAGTTGCTGGGCACCAGTGACTCATGCCTGTTATCCAAGCTACTTAGGAGGCTGAGTTTGGGAAGATTGCAGTTTGAGGCCAGCTCAGGGAAATAGTTTAAGAGACCCCATCTCTAAAATAACCAGAGCAAATGGACTGGAGGAGTGGCTCAAGCAGTAGAGTGCCTGTTTTGCAAGTGTGAAGCCCAGAATTCAAACCCCAGTCCCACACACACAAAAAGAACTTACTAGTTGAGGTGTGGCTCAGGTGGTAGAGTGCCAGCCTAGCGAGCTCAAAGCCCTGGGTTCAAACTCCAGCCCATCAAGGGAAGAAAAAAACCTGCTAGAGACCAGATGTGGTGGTACACCTGTAATCCCAGCACTGGGAGGCGGAGGCAGGAGGATTGCAAGGTTGAGGCCAGCCTGATAGCAAGGCCTTTTAGAAGCTGTCTGAGCCCTTACCTCAGTGTGCCCTCGTCCGTTCACACATGATGTTTCAAATGCAACCACAAGAAGATCCAGGCTCACTCTAGATTAAAAACCCATGAGTAGGTCTAGTCCCCTATCCACAACCATAGTTCTTATAGAGCCAAGGCCTGAGGAGAAGAAACTGTCACCTACTTTATATTTGCAAGAAATTAGCTCCCCAGCTGTACTTCTCACTGCCTATCTCTCTGCAAGATTCATATCCTCAGGCCCCACTTTAAAAAAAAAAAAAAAAGGTCAGGTGTTGTGGTGCATGCCTAGAATCTCAGCACTTCAGAGGCTGAGGCAGAAAGATCTCCACTGAAAGAGCATACATGCATACATAGACAGATGGTGTGGCTGTGTGTCTCAGAGGTAGAACACTTGCCTAGCAGGCACAAGGCCCTGGGTTCCAATCCTAGTGTTGGGGGAAAAAAAAAGTTAAAATAAAAATGGCCTCTTTAGGCCTCTATGGCAAGGGTAGAAAAAGCAGAGCGCAGATCTAGGACCCTAGGAGAGGACAGGGAAGGCAAGTGCCCAGGGAGCCGGGAGGGCATGGAGAGAGAGGGGACCTCTGGGCTCCTGGGATAGGGTGGCAAGGTTGATGGGAGGAATTTGCTGGTCCCCAAAGCAAGAGGCCACAGGGCAGGGCAGAAGGAGCAGGTTGTGAACTGCTGGTATGGTGCTAAAGGAAGAATTGCTGTTGAGGCCCACATGTTCAATGTGAACCAATAAAGATGCCCACAGCAAAGGCTAGGTGTGCAACTAGGAAAATGGGTCAAAGACAGCTAGCCTTGGGTACAAGAGGAAGAGCTCTGTTGTGCTGTCTGGGGCTGAGATAAGTGAATCAAGGAGGCAGAGGGCAAAGACAAGCCACAGGCCCCCCAAGTAGTTTGGTTAGCGAAGGAAGGGGGGTCAGTGTGAGTCAACTTGAAGGTAAAAAATAACAGAGGATGACCCCACATCTCAGCTGCCGTAAACAAAGGACTGTGGTGTTGTGGGCACTAGGGGGAGCCCTGCTCACGCTCGTCCTTGATTTGCTTGAGAAGTTGTCTACACCGCTGATGCTCCAACTAGATTGCTTGGGTTTGAACTTGGCTTTCCCACTTACCAGTTGTGTGACCTTAGGCAGATAGCTGTGATCTCTATGCCAAAGACTATAAAATAGGAGTAATAGTACCAATTGAGCTTTCCTCATCTGAAATCCAAAATCTGAATTGCTCTGAAATCCAAAACTTGTTGAACACCTGATGGATTTTTTTGGTTTAAACTGTGCAGATATCCCAAAATACAAAACAAAACAAAAAAAAAAACCATCTGAAATCTGAAACACTTCTGGTCTCAAACATTTTGGATAAGAGATAGTCAGCCTATGCATTAGTTATATGGTAGTTTTGAAGGTTAAATTGATTAGTATTTGTGAGGTACTTAGAATGATACATGGAGGCTGGGCATGTAGCTTAGTGATAGAACAGTTGCCTAGCATGTATGAAGCTCTGGTTTTATTCCCCAGGACTGCCAAAAAGAAAAAGTAAGTACTTTATAGGTACTGTTTAAGTAAAATTAAATATAATGATAGAATATAAATTTCTTCAGATAGCAGTAAGACATCTTTTTTTTGTGTGGTACTGGGGTTTTGAACCTTGCTAGGCAGGTGCTCTTACCACTTGAGCCACTCCACCAGCCCCAGATAGCAGTAAAGCACCATGAGGAAGAGATATCTTTTCCAATGTATGCAAAATTGTGAGGCAGGCTAACCATGGGCTGGGAGACAGATTGCAGAAGTCACAAGTTATGGGGGGCGGGCTAGAGGGGCGGGACTGGGCACAGCTTAGAATATGCCCCTGGAATACAGAAGTCTGAGTCCCCTCCCTGTCTGTCAAAGGCAGCAAATTAGGAACCTTCCAGAAGTCACAACTTCCTCTGCTCTTTCCTCAATGGACCCAGATGAGACCACCCTGAGGATGGACGAGGTGGGCCACATCCCGCAGACAGCAGCCAGCCACGTGGGCGCCTCCGACTCTCTTCCCAGGGATGAACAGCCACCCGCCGACATGCTGCGGCCTGACCCTCGGGACACCCTCTTTCAAGGTGAGCCCTTGACTATGTACTCGTCACCCTGTCTGGGGACAGCACACTGCCAGTTCCCTCCATGTTGATGGAGAAGACTCGGAAACTTGTTATCTCTACCACAACATCCCATAAGTCACGTAATCTTTTCCCCCCTTGTAGTATAAAGTATAACATGCATCTAGAAACATATTCATCCAATCATACGCTTCTCCAAATCATTATGGAGCGGACAAGAAGCAGAATTAGAACCTGGAAGTCCCCATGCTCCCCTCCCCCACCACAAATATCAGAGTCTCTTAGTGGACTCCAAGTCTTGTCATTCAGTGAGTTGACCAACCCCGACACTAAGTGCTAACTAAGTGTGTGCTCTGCCACTCAGCCACATCCCCAGGCCAGTGTTCATATTTTAAAAGACGACAGTGGCCAGGCACCAGTGGTTCATGCCTGTAGTCCTATCTACTCAGGAGGCAGCGATCAGGAGGATCACAGTTCGAAGCCAGCCTGAGCAAACAGTTCTCAAGACCCTATCTTGAAAAAAAACCATTACAGAAAAAGGGCTGGCGGAGTGTCTGAAGGTGTAGGCCCTGAGTTCAAGCCCCTGTACTGCAAAAAATAAATAAATAAATAAAAAAGATGACAGTGCTCCCTACCTTCCAGGGAGGGAGGTTGGAAGGGAGGGTAGAAACTGAAAGAAGAGGGGCCTTACAGATCCTTGGAAGGAAATCTACTAGGGTGGAGTCTTGGGACCTCTTGGAAGCCTCTAGACCTTATTAAGGACAAACCTGTACAGTGCTTCCAAAGTCATGCTGTACTTGTGTGTCCTGAGTCCTCTGCCCCCAAGGTGCTCTCTGAAGAGTGGTGCCAGCCTCAGCCAATGGGCATGGACTCTGACGGCATCTGCCATTAGTGAATACAAAAGGTGGCTCAGGATAGGCAATGTTAGCCCTTGTTCTCAGTCAGGAGCCTTCGTGGGCCTAAGCCAGATCCACTTATGCTCTCATCAGCCCCTGCAATCCGCTTCCCTTCCCATTCTCAGTGCCTCTGATCCCCAAGTCCCGCCTCCGCCATGTTCTGCCTGACTGTCCCTACAAACCCAGCTACCTGGTGGACGGGCTTCCTCTGCAGCGCTACCAGGGCCTCCGCTTTGTAAGTCTTGGGCCTGGGGAGTGGGTAGGACTGGGGCAGGGATTGCTGCCTGTGACTGGGATGGGAGGTTCAAAACTGACCCCTTGTGTTCCCCACGGCCCACCCCAGCAGACAAGGTGGCCTCAAAGGTCCTTGGGCTGCATTCCTGAATGGACTAACCTAGGTGGACTGTTCCACAAAGCCTGCAAATGGGTGCTATACACACACACACACCAACTCTGCCCAGCAACTCTACTCCAAGGGTCACACAATCCTGTCCTGCCACCAGGTGGCCAACCAAGCCACTAGGGTGAAATGCACTATGAGATGTGGTTAGCTTTAGAAGAACTGTAGCCAGGTGGAGGCTGGAGAGGCAGAACGAAATGATCTGTCCAGATCTAGAGACAAGGCTGGAGGCAGGAAGGAAGTGGTCAGGAGTCATCACCAGGCCAGAGAATGGGTGGGGTGTAATTGAGAAGCTTTTTGGTAGCAGTGACCTCAAGCTATGTTTAAGGTGGCAAAGGAAGCAGTGTAGTCAATAAGGGGAGCGGTGCCCAGGGCTGTGGGAAGTAGTGGGTAAAGGTTCGGAGGAAGCAGGAGAGGACCAGATGGCAGAAGGAGGAGGAGGTCTTGATGTCAGTGGAAGGGTGTCAGCTAGAACAGAAGATGAGGTGATGTGGATCAGGGAGCCTGACTCCAGGTTGCTTGGCCTAGAGAGCATGACAAGAAGAATGGAACCCTGGTCTGTGTAACCAAGTATTTCATTCAGTGCCCAAAGCAGCCCTGCCCTCCCCCTAGGCAGGTCCCTTGATGCCCTCCATGGTGCCAGCCAGGGGCAGGCTTAACCGAGGTGGTTCCTCACCAGGACAGCCCTCTTACATCTGCTTCTGTGTCCTCCACATCCAGGTTCATCTCTCCTTTGTTTATCCCAATGACTATACCCGCCTGAGCCACATGGAGACCCATAATAAGTGCTTCTACCAGGAAAATGCCTACTACCAGGACAGGTGGGTGGCACTGAATGGACAAAGATGGCCTTCCGGGGAGTTCTGCAGGAGCCAGAACTGCCTGTACTGGAGTGGCCACAGGTGCCCTCCCAGCCTACGGAGTGCTTCTTTTCCTGGGCACTGTACACATACATGCATGCGCACAAGTGTGTACACACACACACACTCACACCCACCCACCCTTGCCAACACACACACACACACACACACACACACACTTCCTTCTTCCACTCAAGCTCAGGCTGAGCCTGCAGGGCAGCTGACACCCATCCTCATGTCCCTTCCTCCTGCAGGGTCAGCTTCCAGGAGTACATCAAGATGGACCAGCCGGAGAAGCAGAGGCCGGAGCAGCCAGGTACAGAGTGACAGCTGAGGCTTCCCATCAGGCTGGGAGGGGTCACCTCAGTTGGCTTCTGGGGGATTTTCAAACCATGCATCCCTATCCCTCCCCCAGTCACTTAGCATCTAAACCACAGCCACCCATCCCTCAGGGGAGCAGAGAGCAGCTCCCTCACCTTCCATATCAGGTCTGTATACAAAAAGCACACCTTCTCTTTTGGGGACAGTACTGGATTTGAACTCATGGCCTCATACTTGCTAGGCGGGCACTCTACCACTTGAGCCACACTCCCAGCCCTTTTTGCTTTAGTTATTTCCAGGAAGGATGTCATGTTTTTTTTGTCCAGGCCAGCCTAAACCTCCATCCTCCTACTTGCACCTCCCGTGCAGCTGGAATGACAGGTGCAAGCCACCAAGCTCAGCTTTTTTGTTGAGATAGGGTCTTGCTAACTTTTTGCCTGGGCTGGCCTCTAGCTGTGATCCTCCCAATCTCTACCTCCTGAGTAGCTGGGATTACAGGCCTAAAATACCACACTTTTTATAGCATGCTAGGGACAAGATTAGCCTTGAGAAGCTCACGTGGGCTGCTGGAGGGGCACGCCATGGGGAAGTCTTCAGTGGAACAGCTCTGTCTTCCTGTGACTTTCTTCATGACAGATCAGGGAATTACTAGGTCCATTTGTTGGGTTCTTAAACGGTGCCAGACATCTCCTAAGCACTTTATATACTTTAAATCACTCAGTCTTCACCAGAACCCTCTGAGAGATGGGTTTCTTTATAGCCTTTATTGTAGGTAATGAAACAGGTTAATTGAAGTAGAAAAACTTGCTTGAGGTCACACAGTAAGTGACAAGAGTTTGGGATTCAGTCCCCACCTGGAACCCCTTGGGGTGTCACACATATGATCACCTGTTCTCTTGTATCTCTTGCTGGGAAAGATTGAAAAGTCCTGACATGAGGAATGGTAATTAACAACAGGTTTTGAGGAAGACCTTTTAGAAGAATCCCAGTATGAAGAAGTGGCAGAGGAGACCCCTGCCTCCCAAGACCAGGACACAAGGACCCGAGAGGAAAAACCTACCTCCACCACCCCTGGGCGGAATGTTACTGACTACCTTCCGCGAAGCCTGCGGAGGCTCCTGGCGCGGCTGCGAGGGGGCCCACTCCTGGCCCCCCTTTCCAAACAGAATGCCACATCTCTGCTCCCAGTGAGGACCAGTGATATCCCAGTCCAGCAGCCAGAGAAGAGGAAGAGAAAATTCAGCCCTGAGCCCAGCCATCACTTACCTCATTCTGATAAGGGGATTGGGGGACACCGGGCAGGGAACCTGCCTCACATTCAAAGGCCCAGGCCCACTGGTGACAGCCCTAGAAAGACTCTAGAGCAGTCCCAGTGGCTGAATCAAGTAGAGTCCTACATTGCAGAGCAGAGAAGGGGTGATAGGATGGGGCCTGAGGACCCCGAAAAGGACTGGCAAGGGGAGGAAGAAGAAGTGGTGGCTGCAGGCCAGAAAGGACAAGTGGAGGGAGAGGAAGGTGGGGAAGAAGACGTGGAGGTTGAGGACATGAGTGAGATGTTTGAATATGTGCCTGTGTTTGACCCAGTGGTAAACTGGGACCAGACCTTCAGTGCCCGGAATCTGGACTTCCAAGCCCTGAGGACTGACTGGATTGACCTGAACTGTAACACATCCGGCAACCTGCTGCTTCCCGAGCAGGAGGCCCTGGAGGTCACGCGGGTCTTCCTGAAGAAGCTCAACCAGAGGAGCCGGGGGTAAGGTAAAGGGCTCTCCTGGGGCCAGGGGCTGGGGAACAGCTGGCCTAGAGGGCACAGACCTGGGGGCTGGTAGCAGGGTCCCCTGCAGCAGACCTTTACTGCCACCCCAGGCCCCTGGGCCTGGCTGGCCCTGCTCTGGCCATCGTCTGTACCAATCAGATCTTTGTTCCAGCATCAGGTGCCTGGCCCCACACACACTGAGGACTGGCAGGGCTTGGAACATTTGGGTCCCCCTCCACCCACCCCTCAGGGAAGGAGCATTTAAAGAGGCAAGCAAAACAGACTGAAAATACAAGTCAAGACTTTTGATGTGGGTTAGAAAATCAGGGCATGAGGCATGGCTAGAGTTCTTTGTTTGCTCATTCATTCATTCAATAAATCAATTATTTTTTTGAGATAAAATCCATGTACCGTTAACTTCAGTACTTTAGAGTACAATTATATTCACATTAGCCAGGTGTGGTGGCACGTGCCTGTAATCCCAAAACTAGAGAGGCTGAGGCAGGAGGATCTGGAATTCCAGACCAGACTGGGCTACATAGTGAGACCTTGTCTCAAAAAAGGGGGGGAGGGTGTGGAGGTATGGCTCAAGCAAGCCCTGAGTTCAAATCCCAGTACTCCTCCCCTCTCCCCAAAATTTTATTTACAGCTGGGGTTGGTGGCCCACACACAAAACCCCAGCACTGGGGGAGCTGAGACCAGCCTGGACTACGTAGGGAGACACTGGAGAAATTAAAGAAAGAAAAGTATGTGCACAGTGTGTTGCTTGACTTCCAGAGCCCTCAGGTGGAAAGATACAGTGTTAACTTCACTTTCTTTCACCCTCCCTCTCTCCCTCTTTCCCACTCTTCCTCTCTATCTCTGTCTCTCTCTCTCAACAAGGTTTCACTATGTTGTGGAGGCTTGTCTGGAACGTGTTGCCTGGAGTAGCTGGGACTACAGACTTGTTCCACCATGCATGGCTGTTTTATTTTATTTTTATGTATGTATGTATGATTTTTTCTGTGGTGCTAAGAATTGAACCCAGGACCTTGTGTATCCCAAACATATACTCTACTTCTGAGGTCCATCCCAGCCATATTTTTATTTGTAATTGACACATGGTAATTATGCGTGTTTGTGGGGTACAGTGTGACATAACAATACATGTGTACAATATGCAATGATCAAATCAGGGAAATTGACATACCCAGTACCTCAGACGTTTGTCATTTCTTTGCATTGGGATCATTTATAATCCTTTCAACTATTTTGAAATAATTATTTCCACCATGGTTATCCTACTGCACTATGGAGTATTAGTTGTTAATCTTCCTCCTGGCTGTTCTCCATGCCTTCTTCTCCATCCCTCCCTTTCCACACTCATCCCAGCTTCTGATAGCCACTATTCTACTCTGCTTCTGCAAGATCAACTTTTTAGCTTCACATATATGTGAGAACACGCAATAGTTAGTTGGCTGTCTCTGCCTACCTTGTTTCACATAACACAGCGTCGTTCAGTTCACCCATGTTCCTGCAAATGACAGAATTTTATTCTTTTATGACTGAATAATATTCCATTGTACATATACACCACATTGTCTTTATCTGTTCATCCATTGGTGAACACTTCTATTGACCTGATATCCTGGCTGTTGTGACTAGAGCTGCAGTGAACATGGAGTACAGGTGTCTTTAATGTACTGATGTCATTTCTTTTGGATATACACCCGGTAGTTAGATAGCAGGATCATATAGTAGTTCTAGTTCGAGGGGTTTGTTTTTGTTTGTTTGGTTTTTGAGGAACCGCCGTACTGTTTTCTTCAATAGCAGTACTAATTTACATTCCCACCAATGGGATTTTTTATTTTTATTTTGGTCTTTTTGACAATAGTCATTCTTACTGGGGTGAAATAATGTCATTTTGATTTGCATTTCCTTGGTGATTAGTGATGTTGAACGTTTTTTCATATGCTTGGTCATTTGTGTATCCTCATTTATTTGTTTATTAATTGATTGAGATAGGGTCTTACTGTGTAGCCTACACTGGACTGTTCTAGGCCTGGCTTGCTGTTCTGTATATCCTATTTTAGGAAATGTCTACTCAGAATCTGGGAGTGGTGGTGGCACACAGCTATAATCCCAGCACTCAGGAGGCTGAGGCAGGAGGATTGTGAGTTTGAGGCGAGCCTGAGCTATATAGAAAAGATCCTGCTTCAAAGAAAAAAAAAAAAATCTGTTGAGGTCATTTGTGAATTTGAAACCAGACTTCTTTTCTGTTGAGCTCTGTTGCGTTACATATTCTGGAGATTAATCTTGCATTAGATGAACAGTTTGCAGATATTTTCTCCCGTTCTGTAGGTGGCTGTCCACTGTGTTGTTTCTTCTACTGTGTAGAATCGTTGTAGTCTGATGTAATCCTATTTGTGGATCTTTGGTTTGCTGCCTATACCTTTAGGGTCAGATCCAAAATCTTTGCCCAGGTCAGTGTCCTGAAGCATTAGCTCTGTGTTTTCTTCTACTAAGTCATAGTTTCACGTCTTATGTTTTAGTTTTTGATCCGTTTTGAGTTGATTTTTCTACGTGGAGAGAGAGGGATCTACTTTTATTCACGTGTGCATTCCAGTTTTCGCAGCACCCTTGATGAACAGACTTCCTTTATCCAATGTATGTTCTTGCTGGGTTTGTTGAAAGTCAGCATGCTGTAAATACCTGGCTTCGTATATGATCCTCTATTCTGTACCATTGGTCTGTGTGTCTGTTTTTACACCAGTGTCCTGCTGTCTGTGATTCTGACTTGCCTTTTTCCAATGACTAATGATGCTGAGTCACCCAGTCAGCGTTTATCCAATCACCCATTCTGCCTTATGGACTATTAATTTGAACAGGGCTGGTTTATTAACAAGGGTTGATTTCTCAGGAACCACTTCACTGTGACCCCTCTTATTCACCTTGTATACTTAGAATCTTAGAGCTATCAAAGACCTACAGATCATCACAGCTTTTAAACATGGAGGTGGGGGAGAGGGAGAGAAATGACCCAAGCATTGTATGCACATATGAATAATAAAACAATAAAAAACAAAACAAAAAAAAAACCATGGAGGTAGGGAGCCCTAAGGAAGCTGTGCATCTTGCCTAAGTCCCTGCAGCTAGCCCATGGCAAAGCTGGGACAAATACCAGGGTCTCTTAACAACTGGCCCTGCAGGTTTTTACTACACCATTGCTACCCTCACTGTGGAAGGAATTACTCAGGCCTCTCTTCCTTCTGCTGTAGGAGGTACCAGCTACAGCGTGTTGTGAATGTGGAGAAGCGCCAGGACCATCTGCGTGGGGGTCGATACCTCTTGGAGCTTGAATTGCTGGAGCAAGGCCAGCGCCTGGTTCGGCTCTCTGAATACGTGTCCACACGAAACTGGCAGGGCATCGATCCAGCTGGTGGGGAGGAGTCAGAGGGCCGGAATATGCAGGGCCTAATCTGGAGTCCTCACAATCGGAGGCGAGTCCTGAATGCCCGAGATCCAGAGCCCAAGCTATGCTGGCCCCAGGGTTTCTCCTGGAACCACCGAGCTGTGGTCCACTTCATCGTGCCTGGTAAGCCTAGAAAGGTGGAGGTCCTAATAACCATCACAAGCACCCAGGCCTGTTTTCTATGGTTTGGTCTCCTAACAACTTGTGAAGGATGCCACTTTACCGTTGAGGAATGAAGGCCACAGAAGAAAAGGAACAAGTTTAAGGGTGCATGGCTAGTAGAGGTAGTTAACAATAGATCTGACTCGCAGGCCAGCCTTCAGGGTTAGATATGATCATTGGTTGGGGTTATTGCTGGAGAAATGAGTCAGAGAAGGTACTATATAGAATGCCTTTTATTTGTATTTTTCACAGTGCTGGGGATCAAATGCAGGGCCTCATGCATGTTAGGCAGGTGCTCTACCACAAGCCACATCCCTAGCTCCAGAATGGTCTTTATAATCTGAAGAGAAGACACACAGTAGACAGATGTGTAACAATGGCATGGGATGATAAGAAGATGGACAGATAGCAGATTTGATTGTTAGAGCCGGCCAGGGTTGCTATGAGAGAGCTACTGGTGAGCCCCACCTCACAGCCTTCTCCTAGGCCCTGCACAGGAGGGGGTGCAGGAGCCAGCCAAGGAGGCCCTGTAACTCAGCAGCTCTTCTCCTCCCATGGGTCTCTGTGCAGCACTGCGCATGGCTCCCATAGTTTCATTGTCCCCAAGCAGAAGTCTGATGGGGTTCCTGCCTAGTCTGTGTCGGAGCTGAGATTGGAGATGGTCACCTTTGCCTTACCTCTCATTCTTTCTCCCTGCCTGGCCTACTGGGATAGTGAAGAACCAGGCACGCTGGGTGCAGCAATTCATCAGAGACATGGAGAACCTGTTCCAGGTCACTGGCGACCCTCACTTGAACATCATCATCACAGACTATAGCAGTGAGGACATGGATGTTGAGACGGCTCTAAAGAGATCCAGGCTGAGGAGGTGAGGAGACCCCTGACTGGGATGCCTCCTTCTGAAGTCCTAAGAATACTGGGTCCAGAGTGGAGCCAGAAGTCCCCTGCAGCTTTCCTGATTTCCAGTCTTCAGCTTTTTCTGGAGGACCCCCCTGCCCCAAACCCTATCTCAAGAGTACCCGTTGTCTCTATTCTGTGCCTGCCACCTTGTCCCAGAGACCCCTGGAGCTGAGTCCTGACACTCAGCTCCTCCTTTCTCCTTTCTACAGCTATCAGTATATGAAGCTAAGTGGAAACTTTGAGCGCTCAGCCGGACTTCAGGCTGGCATAGATCTGGTGAAGGTAATCAGCCTGGATAGGGCTTGGGAGATATGATTAGTGACTGGTTGTAAGGTAGAGAGACATTTGGGATGTGCGAGGTAGCCAGCTCCTCAGCAGGGAAAGGAATAGAGACATGGGAACTTACTGTTACTGCAATTACCTGAGACAATCAAATTAAAGGGAGGAAGGGTTAATTTTGGTTTATGATTTCAGTCCATGGTCATTTGGCCCCATGTCCTTTGGATCTGTGGGAGGCAGCACACCATGGTGAGGACCACACAACAGAGGAAACTGCTCACCTGATAGTGACTGGGAAGCAAAAGAAAGAGAAAGGGGCTGGGGTTTCAATATCCCCTTCTAGGCCAAGTCCAGATTACCTAACTGTCTCCCATTAGGCCTAAAGGTTCCAGCACTTCCAATAGTGCCACAGGCTGGGAACCAAGGCTTTAACACATGGACCTATGGGAGACACTTTCAAGCCACAGCAAGGAGCATCCTCTGTGCTATGCTCAGGGGCAGCACAAGAGTGAGACTAAGCAAATGACAGTAGAGCTTTTGCCCAACTGTCCAGGGTCCTCGGAGTTCATAAGAAGTTGGGGTGGAGTCTAATCCACTGTGTGGTGGTAAGACCTCTGCTTGCGTGCTCAGTGCTTGCTGAGGAAATCCACCAACAGTTAGTTCTGTGTAAGTTGTCAGTAGGGTTCCCCTAGAAGCATGGCCTGGCCTCCCAGCCCTAGTCTGGCTGTTCCACTGACCTTGCCCTTTCTGTCCCCAGGACCCGCACAGCATCATCTTCCTCTGTGACCTCCACATCCACTTCCCAGCTGGAGTCATCGATACCATTCGGAAACATTGTGTGGAGGGCAAGATGGCCTTTGCCCCCATGGTGATGAGGCTGCATTGTGGGGCCACTCCCCAGTGGCCTGAGGGTGAGCCCTGCCCCAGACTAGAAAAGAAGAGAGACCTTTCCGGCCTTGATTTTTAACCCCAGAACCGAAAATAGTCATGTCTACGAGTATCTACATCCTCCTTCCTTGCCTTGCCCTCTTGTGGCCCCTGGGCCTCTGGACAGTCCACCAGAGAAGTCCCCAGAAGCAAGCACAGCAGTGTCACTTCCTGCCCATCTTCCCCAGCACATGCTCATCAAACCTTTATGAAGCACGCACTAGGCACCAGATGCTGTGCCTGTGTGAGGACACAGGTGGAAAGGAGGTGGAAAGAGGTTCCCTGCCTGGGGAGAGAGAAGTGACCCGTAAACTGGCACACAGCTGCCTTGAGGGGCTGTTGGGTCCTAAGTGTAGGACTGTCATCAGCCTGTGGTCACTGTGCATGTGCTATGTCCTGAACATTGGCTCCCCCTACACAGGCCAGGGACTTGATCAGCTGAGACAGTTTTCAGCCTCAGTCTCCCCACCCTCCATCTTTTTAGAAGAGCTTGTAGGAGCACAGCCCAGAAGCCTTCATCTCAGTGGAGCATCTTGTCTGTTCACAGGTTACTGGGAGGTGAATGGGTTTGGGCTGCTCGGCATCTACAAGTCAGACCTGGACAGGATCGGGGGCATGAACACCAAGGAGTTCCGGGACCGCTGGGGCGGGGAAGACTGGGAGCTGCTGGACAGGTGATGGGGATAGAAGGGCCTCTGAAGGATCCGCTGGTGTTCCATCCCATAAGGGGTCTGGGGAGGGAACAGGGCTAGATGACCCAAGCTGTGCCCCTCGGCAGCAGATTCCCAGGCACAGGGTAAGAGTACTGAGCTCTGGGAAGCTCCCTGATGACTCACCTCACTGACACTCTGTTTACACATCCTGTAGAGGGGGATGGCACTCTCACTCTGTGTCACAGTGCTGGTGTGACAATCAGTGGTCACTCGACTGTCAGAGGAAAAGCAGAAACTGTGGGGCTGTGCAAATGTAAATGATAATGTTCTTGACACCAGGCAAGGCGCCCTGCAAAGATGAGTGTGTCCTCCCAGCCAGGACCAGTTCTCCTGCCCATCACAGCTGCCTGGAGGCTGAGGCTGCAGCTGTGGTGAATAGATAAGAGAGACACAGGCCAAAGGTCAGGAACGACTTGGAACCAGCTAAAGAGACAGCATGGAACACTAAGAGCAACACGATATCCAGGAGGTTCTGGGTCCCTGGAAACCAGGGGGCAAGGAGTTTGGGGGAAGAGGTGATGGCCTCAGGGAAGAAGGGGAACATAAGAGAATGTGGTATGAGTTGCAGACTTGGCAGGTGGGCCAGGAGAGAGTATTCTGGCAGGGAGCGAGATCATGCAGTGACACCGGCTTGCAGGGGAGAGAGGAACCTGTGGGTGGTAAGGAAGTTTCTCCCTGCCTGTGCATGAGATTCGCCCCTTTCAAGACGTTTGCAGCCAAGAGAAAGGGAGGGACAGAGGAGAGAGGGGAAAGAAAGGGTATAAGTACTGGAAGAGTGTCTAGAGGAGGTGGACAGGTGACCTTAAACAAGGAAGATATACACTTCTTCCTGAGAGATAGGACAAGATACAGCCACCAACCGCTGGGTGCCTGTACTAGGCAGATGATTCACATACATGATCTCATTTGTTCCTCCCCAAACCTCTGTGAGTTAGGTGTAATTTTCTTCATGTTCAGAGGAGAAAACTGAGTCAGGAAGAATAATTGCTTGGCCCAAATTTCTCCCCTTAAAGCATCAGAGGCCTAAAAAACAGGCCTGTTTATGATTTTCTCCTAGAGGGAAGAAAGACAAGGAAGATGACAATACTGGGAGAATTAGAGGGGAAGGTAGGAAGATCGGGGAGCTTATAGCAGATAACTGCAGTCTCAGAAAGCTAGATCAAAGCAGATCCCAAAGCTGAGGGGAGCCAGTGGATCGGGCACTGCCGCCCTTGGTCTTCATGCTGGTCTGTGTGCTTTGATGCAGACCGCCAGCCTCGTCCCCAAACGTTATGCTTCGAGGTCCAAGGACAGAGAACCTGCTTCCAACTCCAACTACTTGCAGCTCTGCCAGAAGTGCAGGACCCCTGTGAGCGGGGCCCCATGGACTGCGTATATAGAAAAGGACAGGGGGCTGGAGTGTGGCCCAGTGGCAGAGTGCTTGCCTTGTGTGTGAGACCGTAGGCTTCATCCCCAGCACTTAAAAAATAATGGGAGGAAGGAAGGGAGACAAGGAAGGAAAGAAGGAAGAAAGGAAGGAAGGGAGGGAGGGAGGGAGGGAGGGAGGGAGCCTGCGAGTGGCTCCAGCTGTCTGCCTCCATCAGATATGACAGTGTGTCCGCTGTAGCTGCACTGCAGGTACTGAGCACTTGGCACCGAGCACAGTAAACGCACATCTCTGTGCGTATCTGTGTTGCAGGTGGAGGTGAAGAGTAGACAGGCTGGGAGTGTGTGTACAGACACACACACACACAAATGTATGAGATGCTGGCCTCTTTCTAGCGACAGGGAGCAGGCTGTCACAGATGACGTGACTTACCCTTCACAGAGCTGGGATTCCAACCCAGACTGGCTGTTCAGCACCTGCACCCTTTCCACTACCCGCTACTTCCTCTGGCCTGCGGCTGGTGAGCAGAGGAAGGAAGGCAGCATCTGACGCAGATGTGGCAGAGTTGGCTCCTCAGTGCCTGACTGCTCCCCCCCCATTGCTGTGTGTGCTTCCCATGGCTCATGCTGCTCTCCCTCCTCCAGGATCCTCCAGGCAGGCCTAGAAGTAGAGCGTCTGTCTCTCAGAAACTTCTTCCACCACTTCCATTCCAAGCGTGGCATGTGGAACCGCCGTCAAGTGAAGATGCCATGATCCCAGGGCAGCTGCTGGACCATCACTTACAGCTCCTCCACTAGCTCTTGGCGCCCTGCTCGCTGCTGAAGGAGGGGAGGGCAGGGGAGCAGAGCGATGACTGGCCCCCGGAGGCCTCGGCACTAATTACCCCCTTCACCGGGGCAGAGGCAGGTGCCCAGGCTCCTCTGCCACTCGCTCCAGAGAAGGACGGGGCAGCAAGGTCAAGGAAGGAGAGACCTACTTGAGCATTACTAGCCTTGTCCACCAAGGTGCATTCTGCCGTCCCCCCCCTCCACACCCTGTGCTCCTCCCCACAGGGAGTATTGACCATGAACTGGACATATTTTATTGGGGAGTTAATTTTTTTTAACAGAGACCCAAAACTACTGTTGACTATGAGAGAGGTGAATTCATGCATTGAGGAAGTGTCCCCATCTGCAGGCCTCAGACCCACTCTTGTGAGGAGCTGTGTCCCTTCCTGAGGCACTGGCCCTCTGTGGAGTAGTTCTAGCCCAGACTCGTGCCTTCCAAACATGCGCACATCACTTCGGTAGCCACCAAACAGCTGGCTTCTCATTAGGGCATTAACCTGACCCCTCCAGATGGTGCTCACTTCAGACTGGAACCATAGAACTGGCGCCATCTTCCTGCTGCGACAGGGGGGTTGGAAGATGGATTCTGCATATGGGCAGTACAAAACTGGCAAGGTGAAAGAAGGTTGAGAGACGCCTTTCTTTCCCCTCTGGGGTCGCCTCTGAGGTAAAGCCTCTGGACAGAGAATGAAAAAACGAGCAAAGAGGAAAAGGACCTAGTCTGTCACCTTTGCTTAGATGAGGACAGGGTATGGGGATTGAGCAGAGAGGAGTGAAAAGGAAGTGGAAACTTGAGTCCTAGCCCTGCTGTGGACCTGACCTCCGGCAGGGGGAGCCCCAGCCACCTGGCCCTGAGGGGACAAAGAGGAAGAGGTGTGGGTGGAACCTCAGCCCCTAGGACAGGGGGCAGGGTGAGAGGTGAGGTACCTTCCCCAAGCCGAGGAGTGCAGGGACAAGAGGAAACAAGAAGTGAGCAGTTTCAGGGAAGGCGGCCCTCTGCCTTGGCAGTCCGTGGCCACCCTTTGTCACCTGATGATACATACTTATCTTGCACTAATAATCCTCAGGTGCTTTTGTGGCTGGGGATTTTCCTACTGCTGCTGGTGAATTTACCAATGGTGCATTGGATGCAGGGGTGAGGACTTGAAGTCTATGAAGAGAGGTGAGCACAGGCCTCCCTGCAGTGAGGAAGGGCTTGTGGAGGTGCAGGAAGCCACTCAACGAGCCCCAGCTCCATGCTGTGACAGTCCAGATCATGGCATTTGGAACTGTGTGCATGTCAGTGACTGCGGGCACCAGGGGCATAAGCTCGGCGTGTGGATGAGAGGAGCCCATTGCGCTAAGCAATCAGGAAGTCAGGCGTGCAGTTAGTAGGCTGTGGCTTATGAGTGCTGTACATGCTCCTGGGCTGTGGCCTTTTCTGGTCCCTGCTTAGGCCCTCTGGAAAGGGCTCATAGGAAGTCAGCTGGGGCTGGGACTGACCAGACAGGGTGCCAGGTCTCTTTCTAGGGCTGCCCATCACTGGCATTGTACTAGAAGGCTGGAATAAGTCCCAGCAGCCCTCCTGCTGCACTTCTGACAACTAAGAGCCCGGCCAGCCTTCCTGTCCTGCCTGCCCCCTTCCCCTATCCTTGGGGCCAGTGCCTTGTGTTTGTGACTGTTACCTCCTCACCATCTGCCTTAAGGGGAAGGGCCTGGCTCCTACTCTGTTGGGGATTGTCGTGGGTGGGGTGGGGGAAGGGAGTGCAGTAAATACAGCATCTTCTTAGAAAACAGATGACTCTTGTGTTTGCCTGTTGCCCATTCATGGTGGAAGAGGGCTGGGCTGAGGGGCCCAGGGATCATCTCTGTCCTTCAGCTGTCCGGTCTCTGATGAGTGTGCCAAGGATCCTGCTGCACCACCTTCCACCCTTACTGCCAGCTTCGTGCCTGTGGTGGTGGGCAGCCTTCTCTGTGCTGCAGTTTATTCAGGAAGGACACAGCAGTGTCCTGTCTGGGGATCTCACAGTCTCAGTACGCTAAGTGTTTGCTGTTTAGTAGGTTAATGGAGGTTGGCAGTTTTGGCTGGGAAAAGCTGTAAACACCCTGGATGAAGAAGGGAGACTAGGGCTGGTCATGCTGGCTGTGCCTGTAATTTCAGCACCCAGGAGGATCGAGAGTTTCAGGCCAGCCTAGGCTACATAGCAAGATCCTGATTCAAAAATAAAAATAAGGCTAGCTACAGTCAGAATGATGATATGGCTTATTCCAAAAGAGCAGTTGGGGCAAGAGTGTAGCTCAGTGGCAAGAGCACTTGCCTAGCATGTGTGAGGCCCTGGATTCTCTCCCCAGCCCTCAGAAGGAAGAAAGGAAGGAAGGAAGGAGGGAGGGAGGAAGGAAGGAAGGAAGAGAGAAAAAGAAGGAAAGAGGGAAAGGGAAAGAAAAGGAAAGAAGGGAGGGAGGGAAAGAAAAAAAGAAAGAAAAGATCATTTCTTGAGCTAGGGATGTCCTGTAGGGTGCTTGACAGGTGCAAATTGATCTTTGTTGTTATATTCAGCCTGGGCAAATATACAAAATTTGTGTTCTTTAAATATACATCCAAGAGACACTGTTAATGTGAAAGCTAGTATAAGTTTATAGTAGGTTTTTTTTTTTCTTTTCCACTACTAGAGTTTGAACTCAGGGCCTCATGCCTGATGAAAAGGCTGTGTGTGTTTGCATCAGTCCAGAAGGAGTAATCTGCAATTGGTGGAACAGGTAGCAAGTTCTTTCTGGGATCCGGCATCCGGATCCTTCAGGACTGCAGACAGCGAGACTGACTCAGTGGATTCGCAGAGCCCTTTATGGATAGAAAGCATTGAATTTTACAGAAAGGGAGAGCCACAGCCAGGAGCAGAGGGAAAGAAAGGGGTGGAGACAGAGCCAGAGTTCTCAGGCTGGGCAGACTTGACCTGAGCAGACCCGCCTTAGGCTCAGGAGGTCCTGCCACGTCGGGACAGGTTGGCAGTGCCCAAGTCTGAGCGTAGGACTCCAGACCAAGATGGAATCACTCCGACCACTAAGATATCAAGTCTTAATTCAGGTGCGTGGGTAGAAGCCCTTTTAGAAGCTCTCTGGGGCCTGGCATATCAGGGAGGATGAAGGCAGATGCAGTTACAGGCCCAGCACCTGTAGGGGAAGCAGACAAGAGGCCATGAAGAGGACAGGGCGGCCTAGCGCTCCTCACACTGGACATACACACGATCCACTGGCTGTCTTACTAAAATGCGGTGTGATTCAGCAGCTCTGGAGTGGCCTGGTGTGTGCATTTTCAGCCACTTCCCAGGTGGCCCCTGGACCATAATCTGAGTAGGAAGGACTGCTGGACAATGCCACTGTTCTCGTGCCAGAGTGGCAGAGCCAACCACTAACCACATTGCCACCCTCCCCATCCCAGGCTGTGACAAAAGCTGCACTTAAGAACTGAAGAGTCACCAGTGACAGAGCAAGGGGCTAGCACAGCCCTCCAGTGCCAGCTCAAGAGTACCCTTGCCCAGGCCTATAGGCCTGATTCGGCTTGGTAAGGGAAACCCCTCTTCCAGAGACAGAAGGGCCTGCTGGGGAGCCCCTGGGTCGGGGTCCCTCCTCCCCCCCTCACCTGGCTGTGTTCAGAGAGGATTCCTTGAGGCCCTAGCAGCCAAGAATCCTGTCTTATGTGCCCCAAAGGCTGTGATGAAAATGTTGATGACCACAGTGATGAAGACCAAAGTGGTGGCAGCATTGTTGAGCTGGTTTAGCCGCCACTGACTTTCTACCTCATTCAGGTTCAGCCGTGCTGTGGAGCAAGGAGGGGGAGGGAAGGTCAGCGTGGGATCACAGCCTGGAGCGCCCCTCCCCACAGCCAGTGGTTTAGAGAGAATCTGGCTTTAGAGACCCATGTGGCAGACATCCTTGAGGTGGTAGACTGGGGGCTGAAATGCCTTTTGGGCCTCCTTATAAGTGCACGGGGCACTTCATGGAATGGGGGGGTCGGGAGCTTAACTGAATCTTATCCTTTTTTTTTTTTTTCTTAGCGGTACTGGAGTTTGAACTCAGGGCTTCATTCTTGCTAAGCAGGCGCTCTACCACTTGAGCCACTCTGCCAGCCTTTAATGGGTTCTTCCAAGGGCGGGAATGAGTGCTCACAAAAAAGAAAAGAAAAAGAAAAAAAGCTAGAAGGAACACTACCGCAAGTTAGTGAACAGTCACTCAGCAGCTGTCATTCAGTGTGCCCCCTATGGGATGCTGGGAGATAGGACAGGTGGTGCCCTCGCAGTACACTGGCAAGTACCAGGGGCAGACGCTAGGTCTGAGAAGGTGGCATGAGCAAATGCAGGGACCGTTCCCCCCAGCAGGGGGCGCCAAAGCAGAAGGCCTGACTCCAGGCCCGGGCTTCTCACCAATGACCACCAGGAGGATCCCGATGGCCACCTGCAGGAGCAGAGAGATGCTGATGAGGGTGATGAGGGTGGTGTAGTACTGAGCGGTCGGCCCCTGCTCCAGCACCGCTTTCAGCCGCGTGGCGTTGGACATGAAGAGCGCCACGTCCAGCATGCTCTCAGCCACACTCTTCTTGGTGGCATAATGGTTCAGGTTGATGGGCTGGTTCCCCCTGGGGTTGGCGTGCCCGGGCTGAAAAGGAGATGGCACAGGCTCAGCAGGCTCAGGAGGAGACATAGTGAGAGACTGGAAAGAGGAGGGAGGTTTTAACAGGGATTCCCCTGCCACTGGTGGTGATGCTGTGCGGCGTACGGCCTGAAATAGAATGAAGGGACCTGGCAGGACATGGTGCTGTGCTATGGTTTCTGCTTCAGGGAGGGCCGCACTTTCCTCACACCTTCACCCACCCAGCTGAAGAAAGACAAGAGAAGAGTCGAGGCCCCAGGGAGGGCACAGAACTCAGCAAATGAAACACGTTCACATTTCAATCCCAGTCAGCCCCTCAACCAAGAACCTGGGAGCCTCAGCTCTGCTAAGTCACCCACCAGCCAGCAAACCACCGTTGTCAGAATCTGCATATGGGCCGGGCACTGGTGCTCACACCTGTAATCCTAGCTACTCAGGAGGCAGAGATCAGGAGGATCATGGTTCAAAGTCAGCCTGGACAAATAGTTCATGAGACCCTATCTTGAAAAAACCCTTTACAAAAAAAGGGCTGGTGGAGTGGCTCAAGGTGAAGGCCTTGAGTTCAAGCCCCAGTGTGAAAGAGAGAAAAAAGGAAGGAGGGAGGGAGAGACAGAGGGAGGGAGGAAGGAAGGAAGGAAGAAAAAAAAAGAAAAACATTGAGGCCAGTCATGGTGCAAAGTAGGCCTCTACCACTTGAGCCATGCCTTCAGTCCATTTTGCTCTGGTTATTTTGGAGATGGGGTTCTCCTGAACTATTTGCCAGGCTGGCCTTGAAGCTTGATTCTCCTGATCTCCTAAGATTACAGGCGTGAGCCGCTGGAGCCTGACCCGGGCAATTTGTTGAGTGCCTATTAGCTGGTTTTTTTTTTTTTCATCCAGTTTTTTATTGGTTGAGATGGGGGCTAACTTTTTCATCCAGGCTTGCCTCCAACCGCAATCCTCTGATGTCATCCCCTGGAGTAGCTGGGATTACTGTGCTTGATCCAAGTGCTCTCCAGTGCCTCGGCTTGCCGGCAGCATCCTGTCTAAATTTCTGGGCCCCTTCCAGAGGCTCATACCTTATCAACTGTACTGCAGTTCCATCTTTTGTAGTTAGTGGCTTGTTTTTTTGAGACAGGGTCTTGCCATGCAACCCAGGCTGGTCTTGAACTCCTTATATAGCCCAGGCTGGCCTCAAAAATTTTTTTTTTTGGCAGCACTGAGGTTTGAACTCAGGGCCTCACACTTGCTAGGCAGGTTCTCTTACCTCTTGAGTCACTCCACCAGCAGGGCCTTGGTTTAGGGTCAGTGTGACAAAAACTGAAATGGAGCCAAGTACCAGTGGCTCACCCCTGTAATTCCAGCTACTCAGGAGGCAGAGATCAGGAGGATCACAGTTCAAAGCCAGCCCAGGCAAATAGTTCACGAGACCCTATCTCAAAAAAACCCATCACAAAGAAAGGGCTGATGGAGTAGGCCCTAATTTCAAGCCCCAGTACCACAAAAACAAACAAACAAACAAACAAAAACCTGAAGTGGAGTGGTGAAAGGACTTTTGAAACATGTCACAACTTGGAGATAGGGACACTGACTCAGAGATCACCACAACAAAATGGATATCGGGTGAGTGGGTAGATAGATGAAGAATGGCGTAGCGGGGATTACAGATATAAGCTACCATGCCTGGCCTAAAACTTTTCGATGATGCATCCATAATATATGTATATCCTTTTATTGTAACTTACATTCATATTTTACTAGACTAATACATGCTATAGCATATAGAAAATTTTGAAAGGATTACATAAAAATAAATACAAATGGAGGTTTGATTTTCTTATTGTATCTCAAAGATGGTTTTGAGTAGCCCTCTTTGGAGATCCAGCACTAACCACACGCTTGGCTGCAGATTGAACATAAGCCAACCAAAGGGGATCCCTCCCAGTCCCAGCCCCCCTCTCTCTCCTAAAGTTTGCTTTCAAGGTTCTCCTCTCTTCTGCCTTCATTTCCAGGGCTGGTAATGTCGAGCATGGGCCAGGACTGGCGGCATGGGCCCTGAGGCCTCCTTTTCCATGGGCCAGCATGGAGGTCTGAGCACAAAATGGCTCTTTCACTTTGGAACCCTTCCCTCCAGGCTGTGGGTAGCTCATTACCAAAATCTGTGTTTGTCCCATTGTCTCTGGGAGGGGTGGGACAAGGAGGAGAATCAGGAGACACTTTTGCATGGAAGATGAGAATGAAGACCCGTAGGTGCCTTCATTCAACATGGACTGAGCACATGCACCAGGCAGGACTTGGCACTGAGCACCATAGGCTTGATGAGGACATATCGCTACCCTACTCCACCCAGGCCCTGGAGAGTACTCACACCAGGACCAGGCAACTAGAACTAGACAGGGGCCCAGAGCCCAGAGAAAGGAGGAAGCAGGGCTGTGACATGGCAGGAATGACATGCTCCCTGTCTCTTCCTGTATTTTCTAGGGCCTGGGCTTCAGCCTGTACTGGGACTATGAGGAGCAGGAGGTGAGGACAGAGTGACAGTGAGGACCTGGAAGTCCACACAACTGGCTCATAGCCTTTAGAAATGAGGTCAAAGCAAGTCTGGGCTTGTCTGGGCCCAGTTGGCCTGGTTGATTAGGGTCAGGGATCCCAGGGACAACACCCCTCAAAGGCCAATGGTCGCTGTCAACCCCAAGGCTACAACCTGTAGTCTAACCTGTTTGGTGAAAGTTTGTCCTGGGTCACTAAGAACATGAATAGTAGTCAGTGGCTGGGCACTGGTGCCTCATGCCCATAATCTTAGCTGAGGGCAGGAGGATCACAGTTCAAGGCCAGGCCAGGGAAAAAGTTCATGAGACCTCATCTCAAACAATGGCTGGGCACAGTGGTGCAACTTTCATCCCCTGCTCCATGGGGAAGCCCAAATAGGAAGAGCACATCCAGGCCAGCAGGGCATAAAGGAAGACCCTATCTCAAAAATAACTAAAGGCAACAAGGGCTGGGGGCGTGGCTGAAGGGGTAGAGCACCTGCCTAGCAAGTACAAGGCCCTGAGTTCAAACATTAGTATAGGGCCACCTCCAAAAAAAAAAAAAAAAAGATCTGATAGAACAAAATCTAACTCCACGGAAGACTCCCTTCCCAGAAGATTTGCATCTTAGCAGTAGACAAAACCTTAAATCCAAACCACTAGGGCTGTGCTTAGAGCATTGATTAAATACTGGGGGGAGGAGGAAAAAGTGGTGCTGGAAGGGAGCACAGACCTTTTTAAACCTCTATAAGAAGCTTTGCTTTGCTATTTGTTTCACTTTTTTTTTTTTTTTCCCCAGTGCTAGGGATCAAACCCAGGTCCTCCTGCATGGTGGGCAAGTGCTTTTCCACTAAGCCACACTCCGGCCTCTGTAAGTTTTAACAGCTGGCCAGTTTTGGTTGCAATTAGATGATGGAGGTGCTGGTGGCTCACGCCTGTAATCCTATCTACTCAGGAGGCAGAGATCAGGAAGATCATGGTTCAAAGCCAGCCAAGGCAAATACTTCTTGAGACCCTATCTTGAAAAAATCCTTCACAAAAAAAGGGCTGGTGGAGTGGCTCAAGGTGTAGTAGACCCTGAGTTCAAACCCCAGTACTGCAAAAAAAAAAAAAAAAAAAAGATGAAGATGAAGGAGCAATGTTTCACAGAGGATGTGGGACTCTGTTAACTTAGAAGGCAGCAGGCCTCATCCCCCTCTCTGATTTCAGGACCTGCTTTCATTTGCTGAGTGTCCACTGGGTGGCGTGTGGGGACTAAAGACATTGCTTGGGCATCTGGCAGCAGCAGGAAGCCAACACAGGACAGGATTGGTTTGAAACCTGGGCTCCTGCGAGCCTGAATAGGACACAAATGTGACTAAGACTGTCTAAAACTCTCCTGACCCAAGAGTCAAAGGAATTGAATAATCAACCGATGCTGTAGCAGGTGTGATGGTGCACGTCTATAATCCCAGCAGTTGGGAGGCTGAGGCAGCAGGATTGTAAGTTCCATCCTACCCTGTCTCAAAAAATATATAAATAAAATAAATTAAAAAAATTAATCAATACTGAAATAGGGCCAGAGCTGAATGGGGAGATGATAGAGGGGGAAATAATTCAGGGGGGCTGGTGGAGGGCCCAGCAGCCTGGCTGATAATGTTTAGAAGGGAGTCTGCTGTGAGGCCCTGGGTGAAGTTGCTTTGAAAGGGGTCCCTCATAGTAGTAAGTGATTGGGTAAACCCCAAGTCCTGCAGGAGCTCAAGCTCTTTTTCTTTTTTTTGGCTGTACTGGGGTTTGAACTCAGGGCCTTGGTTGCTAGGCAGCTGACCTACTGCTTGACTCACGCCCCAGACCATAGATGTCAAGCTCTTCATCCATAGCTGGAACCTGGGAGCAATTCTACCAGGCGTCAAGATCAGAGAGGAGGGTGAGGTGCCTACTCGGAGGAGCTGGCCCTTTAAGGCCAGGCTCAGGCTGGTCAGAACAAAGTCCTGGGAATGTGGGCTGGACCTGGGAGCAGAGTCACCCAGCATGAGTCATTCATGTTTCAGGGACTCAGAATCACTGGCTCCCACTTGCTGAGCCAGGGCTGAGGGGCAGCCTGCAGGGCTTGTCTGCAGCCCTGCACTGGGGCTGAGGCCTCCCTCGGCCCACCTAAGCCACCAGCCCTGGGCCAGCTCCTGGGCTTGGGCTCATGGCTTCCAGGCCTGGCTCTGCCCCAGGCTTGGGCCTGGGTGCTCGCTTTCCACATGGAGAGGAAAATGTGTGCCTTAGGTGCAGAGGCTGTGGGGAGCCCCAGCCCCAGGAAGAAAGCAGGCAGAATCTAAGCTGATCTCACTTTTTTTCTTTTCTATTTTTTTGCAGTACTGGGATTTGAACTCAGGGCCTACATCTTTTTTTTTTTTTTTTTTTTTTTTTTTGGTGCTGGGATCGAACCCAGGGCCTCACACATGCTAGGCAAGCGCTGTACCACCAAGCTACATCCCAGCCCCAGGGCCTACATCTTGACCCACTCCA